ACGTAATGAATGTGAACGTGAACATAAATTATAACAATTGCAACTTTAAAAATTAATAATAAAATCTGGTTAAAAGTGATGAACTAAAAATTGTTTACAAATTACCGTACTTCTTGGAACGTGCCTCTCCCTCAGAGTTTTAGATGGAAATTGAGTATGTACTTCATACGTTATTCATTAAAATAATGTTCAACGTCAGGATGTCCTAAGAAAATTGCAGGCGGGATGTTGGGAAGAAAAAAATCTATCCATTTATTTGTAGCAATGTTTGAAAAAAAAAAAATCAAAGACAATTTTAGAAAGATTACTTCGTTCATTTTAAGATACTCGCGTATTAACTACCCTTTATTTTTTTTGCTCTCAATTCCTGGGCGGGGGGGAGGGAGGCTTATATTTGAGAAAATTCGGTATTATGGGACTTCCAGGTGGGCGGGTGCGCGTTTTAAGGCACGAAAAGGAATAATTCAAAAATTTAATGAAAATGTCACTTTTTAATATCACACTGGCGCGCAACGTGAGCTAATTGGGACCAAAGCTAGATGGCACTTGCGATGTCTACGTTCCATCGGTACTGATAGGCTTCGAAATTCTCTAAAATCGCAAAAAGACAATGTTTTATAAAAAGAAACAAAAACATCTCTATCTTCAATGTTGAAAGGGCAAGATCGCAGAAAAGTGAATTTTGGGAAATTTCAAAATTCAAGAAGTTAAATATACCTGCCTTGCGCTTTTTTACGAGTACTTTGCACCACTGGAGCGAAATATTTAAATAAAAACTGTCTAGGCATTTTTGAGAAAATTTTCAATGGTGCTTAGTCTATAAAAAATATCTCCCCCCCCCCAAAAAAAAAGTTCCGTTTCACACCCGAAGAGCAGCGACAACACTCAGATCACCGGGCAATATTCATTTCTGTTAACATTCTTTGTGCGGTTTTAAGTGTAAGTGTTGTTCACCGAAGACTGTCAGACCGGAGGAAGAAACTCACACTTTCGATACCAGGGACCC